CAATGAACTGTATGTTTTATATTCAATTAATGTATGATCTGATTAGTCGACTAATCGAAAAAATAATCGGTGATTAATCGATTATAAAAATAATCGTTTGTGGCAGCCCTAAATTAGAATACTGAAAAAATGTCAGACAAAAGCCAGAACAATTGGCACTGTTTTAAAAATACAATAACTTACAGTATTAGGTATAATTCATATAACATGACCAAGCAGCTATTGTTTTAACAGCCTTTTTATTCACACAGCGTTCAATAATGTAAGTTTCAAATTCCTTATGAAAGGCAAAACATGTTTTTAACATGAAAATTTACATTTATGCACGCAGAACTTTGCAATAGTAGTGACTGTCAATGTGAGCCTCAACATAACAGGAGGGTTAAATATTCTGCAGTCAGTGTAGAATAATCTAATCCAGGTTTGAAGTCTCTGTGTGTTTTAGGTTTTAAACTACAGCAAATGAAAGATGCTCAAGGTAGTGAAAACAGTTGGAATGGCCCTTTAGCCATTCCTGAAACTTCAGGGCAGGGGCAGACAAATGTGCCTATGTCTGCTGCAGGCCCTGAATTGAGACACAGCAAATGACTGCACCATTGGATTTGATAGCATTTATTTCCTCTAATACACTGAGACACTGGAAAATATTCAGCTTCAACATTTTTAACTAACTACAAACTTGCTGTTCAGCATCGTCTTCAATATTCTCGATTTTCCTGGATCAATAAAGATGTTTTAAATCAAGCTAGCTAGACTCAGAGCCCGATTACCTTTGCTTGTTCATGATCCCCACAATAATTTGATCCACTCAATATAAATTTACCATGTCATATGTGTACGTTTAATCGTATTTGCTGTAAATAACATTCAGGCTTTTAGTCTGCTCTTGTCACATAATGGCTGTATTTGTTGAGTCTTGTGTTGTATTGTTCCTAGCCGAACTGTAGGTAAATAGGTAAATACATATTCTGGGAAAATTAAGAAATTTAGGTATGTTGTATAATGTGTCCTAAAAATGTAAAGTATTTGTTACTGTTGGGAGAAATGGGGGTTAAAAATAAGACTTTTCTTAACTGTTGAAGTGATGTGGAAAAGCAAAGGTGCAGARTAAATACAAAGAAAACAGGAAAGTTAAGTAAATCACAGTAAAAGTATTACAATGAATTTTAACCCCAAAATACCCTGAATTATTTTATAAATGTAAACGATTCAAGACATGAATAAATAGGAAGAGAGCAAACGCCCCCCAATGGTAGACCTAAAGTGCTGGAATGGTCTTTTCAAAGTCTCGACCTCATTTATAAAAGTGGACTTGTGTTCTGAGTCAGAAAGCTACCAATTCTCTCAAGAAAAGTAATCAAATATCCAGCCTGAATTACACCAGCAGTTTGATGATGGACACAAAATGTATGTAGTCAGAGGACTGACTAACATGTAAAGAACTAATGGTGGGAGTGGATGTATCCATGATTGTGTAAAGTATGTTTTGAGCCTGTGTGAGTTTGAGAAAAGACACAGTTTGAGGCCCAAAGGATCCATCTGAAGCAGGCAGCAGTCAGGCACCATGATGTCATTGCTCCACACAACGATGCTGATCACAGCCAGGTCTTTCAGTAAGAACGACATCATCTCAGCGACCCGTTTCTTCTGATGRTTGGTCATCTCTTTCAGTTTCTGAAGCTCCGAGTCAATGGAGGCCAAGCAGCTCTGATGACAACACAACAACACACGTTACAAAGTCATTCTGTATTACTGTACWGAGCAGATTTGGAACCCATTGAGCCTAAACGTCCTTATAGACTTATGGTTCAGCTCCTCGCTGAGAGCTTCAAACTCTTTTGTTTTGTCCTCAACTTCCTGACTCTTCTGGTCCTAGTTGACTGCCAACTCCTCCAAAGCCTGCAGCACCTCCTTCACCTCCTCTTTGGAGGTCTAGGGATCAAACCCAGGACCTTCACTCTGTGAGGTATCAGTTCTAACCACTTATCCACTGTGCTGGGATCTAACCAGGCTCAGACTGATCACCTCTCTCTTACCATGGTGATACAAAGCCACTGTTACACTAAAATGCTTTAGACAACTTTGAAAAGTTTGTCCAACACTAAAGATGGAATAAAAAAAACCTACGGGAAGCCTCTTTTGGACGTATGCATACTGTAATGCAAACAATTCAATCAAATATCCCTAAATCCCTAAATTGTGGAGCGCTCTGCCTTTGCACATTGGAGAGGCCCTTCACTGTCCATTTTTAAAACCCCACTGAAAACTCATTTTGACTCATTGGCCTTCAACACAACTGAGGTTTGATTTGACTCAACTCTTATGTATTGTTGTGTGAAGATCCGTGTCTTGTCTGTTGTCTCTCTCTTGTGTCCTATTCATGTCATTACTTCTCATCTCTCAGTCTGTTTTCTGTCATTCTCCCTGCTTTTTTCACTCTCACCTGTCTGCTCTTTGTAATCAATTATCCTCAGCTGTTGTCCACCATCCTCTCTCCCTCCTCTTGTATATATTCTGTCTCATCTGGTCATTACGTCTCTGGTTCATTGTTTGGTATCAACCAACCGTCTTGGTCTCCCCGTTGGCTTTCTGCGCTCCTTGTTTGTGTGTTTTTTGCTGCCACGACAGCATTTTGTTTTATTTAATAAAATACTTTTATTTAGAGCTCCTCTCCTCCGTCTGGACTTGGGTTCATTCCTGCGTCAAACCCTGACATGTTGCTGATTTTATCTGTTAAACCATGTTGTTTTATTGTGTTTTGAATGGAGTTTTTAATCTATCTTTGTATGTCACTCTATTTTTGTGCTTTCTTTTATCTTACTTATTTTCAGATGTTCAGCACTTTGTTTCAGCTGTGGCTGGTGTTAAAGCTCTTTATTGATAAATTTTGATAATGATGATGAAATATAACCAATATGAGTGGTTTATTCAACCCAATTTTCATAAGTCATGTAAAATGTTATAGTGTGACTGGACCTTAACCAGGCTCAAAGAAATGCTCTTAGAAAACTTAGACATTCAGCTCATTTTAGCAGCTAAACTGTTAACCTCACTTCATGTTACAGCCTCTGGTGATTAACCGAGGAGGATTCAGAGCCTCATGGTACCTATTTATATACAGTACAGATCAAAGGTTTGGACACACCTTCTCATTCAAAAAGTTTTCTTTATTTCATAACTATTAAAATTGTAGATTCACACTGAAAGCATCAAAGCTATGAATTAACACATACTTAACAAAAAAGTGTGAAACAACTGAAAATATCTTATTTTCTAGGTTCTTCAAAGCAGCCACCTTTTGCTTCATTCTCTGATGAGCTTCAAGAGGTAGTCACCTGAAATGGTTTTCCAACAGTGTTGAAGGAGTTCCCAGAGATGCTTAGCACTTGTTGGCCCTTTTGCCTTCACTCTGCGGTCCAGCTCACCCCAAACCATCTCGATTGGGTTCAGGTCCGGTGACTGTGGAGGCCAGGTCATCTGTTGCAGCACCCCATCACTCTCCTTCTTGGTCAGAAAGCCCTTACACAGCCTGGAGGTGTGTTTGGGGTCATTGTCCTGTAGAAAAATAAATGATGGTCCAACTAAACACAAACTGAATGGAATAGCATGCAGCTGTAAGATGCTGTGGTAGCCATGCTGGTTCAGTATGCCTTCAGTTTTGAATAAATCCCCAACGATGTCACCAGCAAAGCACCCCACACCATCACACCTCCTCCTCCATGCTTCACGTTGGGAACCAGGCATGTAGGGTCCATCCGTTCACCTTTTCTGCATCACACAAAGACACGGTGGTTGGAACCAAAGATCTCCAATTTGGACTCATCAGACCAAAGCACAGATTTCCACTGGTCTAAAGTCCATTCCTTGTGTTCTTTAACCAAAACAAGTCTCTTCTGCTTGTTGCCTGTCCTTAGCAGTGGTTTCCTAGCAGCTATTTCACCATGAAGGCCTGATTCACACAGTCTCCTCTGAACAGTTGTTCTAGAGATGTGTCTGCTGCTAGAACTCTGTGTGACATTGACCTGTTCTCTGATCTGAGCTGCTGTTAACCTGTCATTTCTGAGGCTGGTGACTCAGATGAACTTATCGTCCGCAGCTGAGGTGACTCTTGGTCGTCCTTTCCTGGGGTGGTCCTCATGTGAGCCAGTTTCTTTGTAGCGCTTGATGGTTTTTGCGACTGCACTTCGGGATGCAAAGTCAATGGTGAATGCGCATCTAGGGGTAGAAGCCAAGCAGTGCGTCTGGCACATTTTGAGCAGCACGGTTCGAAGCGGTGCACACCAGTGATGGTGAGATGAAGCTTCATGATGCATTGAAGCTTTCCATCCAACTAGTCGACACATGATTCGAAGCATTGTCATGCTTTAAATAAACACATTTATATTACATTCAGTCATTTCAGGGTACAAATAGTAAAATACAACATTGCCTCTTTGTTTAACAATTTATTATAATCATTTCATATAAACAGTTTTGTTTATTAATATTTATAATAAAAAGCTGTATTTGAGTTATTTTAGTTATTCGAGTTTACGTACACATAATTTTATTTTACTGCTGAATAAAACAAAACATGTTATTTATTATTTAATTTTAACGGGCTTTTATTTTGAAAGGGATTTACATATAATTTAGTCCCATCTGGAAATACAGCATTTTAAAGTGACAGTTTTAAAACAAGAATAATCACTTTGGAGATGTCCTCCTGATCTTGTGAAGCACAGATTTAATATTTACCCAGACCAACGGTGTTTAGAAGGAAATCACGTCAGCAGATGAGCAACTCAGAGGTGTCGGTTCTGTTTGTAGGACATAATTGGAATCAGACGGGTCTTCTGGACCTCTTGATCCCATCCTTTTATTTTACCTTTGAGGTCACGCAGATTAAAGCTGTAGTGATGGACGCTGAGTGCGTTGATGGGGGTGGGGTGGGGGGTTTCATATATTAAAGAGAAGGGAGAGGGAATCTCTGCAGTTAACTACCTGTGAAGATCAGCTGAAGAACAAACTTTAAGCTTCTGCAGGACCTGAAGTTTTCAGAACCAAAACAAAGGTAAGGACAACTCCTCCAATTTACTGATCTAAAAGCTCCCATTCTTCAAATTTTCAAGCTTATTTTTAAATGAAGTTGTGCAGCACTTCAAAGTGAACTGTTAAGTCTTTAAGTTTCTATTTTAACATATTCATGTTTTATTGATTGATTGCATGCAACTATTTTATTCGATCAAACTATTTTAGGAGAAAAGCAACATTCTGGATTATTTAGAGAAAATTCAAACTACTTTTTTTGGAGGTGAGAGTGGATAACTGAAGTGTCTGGTTGTTTTCAGGTGAGAGAATGAAGTCTCGGTTGGTTCTGTTGCTGGGGCTGCTCCTGTATGTGGGGGCTCAGCTGACCTCCGCTCAGCACTGGTCTCATGGCTGGTACCCCGGAGGCAAGAGGGAGTTGGACTCCTTTGGAGGCCCGGAGGTTCGGTTCAGTGTTTCTGTGCTTGTGCGTCTTTTAATCACTCACTGAGCAGTTTTGAGACTGAAGATCCCGATGTTGTTTTTCTTCAGATTTCAGAAGATATTAAGTTGTGTGAGGCAGGAGAATGTGGCTACCTAAGACCCCAGAGGAGGAACATCCTGAGGGACATCGTTGTAAGTGAACATGTAGAATCTGCACTTCATTTAAAATGCAAAAACCACAATATCCACTCATTTATTATACTATAGAATGAAATAAAGCCTACTTGCTTGTGAATTCTGTGCACAGAAAGTAAAAAATAATAATAGCCTAATAAAAATACAGAAAAAAGCTGAAACATATTTGCTATGCTGAAAAACTGTACGTCAGGTCAATGTAAAATTAATTGTCTACACTCTGTCTTCACAGCTGGATGCTTTGACCAGAGAGCTCCAGAAAAGAAAGTAACAACTGCTTTTACTTTACTTTTTTTAAAAAACCTGTGACCATTTTTAAAGTGTCGTTGTCTTGGAGTAATTCTGTTTTCCTTATGTTACTTTTATCAGTAAATCTGCTCTCCAGTATTGCACTGTTTTGTTTTTTGTTCCATGGCAAACAATTGTAAAACATAATGTCCCAAAATAAAGTGTCTGTTTTGATACTTTTATCCTCTCATTTGTGTTCACAGTTACTTGAAGCACATGTGGATTATATATAAAGTGTGGAAAAGTAGGACTTTGACAAAATGCAGACAAATACTGTACTTGATAAACTGAATTAATGTGAAATCACATGTTAATAAAAAAAACTTTCAGTAGTTCATGCTGACAGAAATAAACTGTATTAAAATTTTAAAACAAGTGCACATAATATCAAATAAATTATTTTGCTACTATATATATACTTAGAGGAAGACAGATCTTGTTGGCTATTGTTGAATAATTTAATAATAATAATTTATAATTATATACAGTATAGTAGTGTCCACTGCTTTGTCCAAGACTTTTGCACAGATAGGTTGTTTAGTTTTATCGTCAAATAATATGTTACAAACTTTAAAATAAAAAGAAATGTAAAAATCTAATTTGGAAAAGTATGATTAATTAAAAAAAAACTTTTATAATTTAGAAACTTTAGTTCACGTTACTGCGCATGCGCCAAACAGGGAAGCAAGAGTAAACAAACATGGCGGATCTTAATGTCTGTCCAATGCTAACTGCGGGGTCAAACGCCCATAACAGCATTAATGTCTCCCCTAATACGGCTTCTGGTGCTGATAAAGTAATAAACAGTCTAACTGATAATTCCCAGGTTAAAGGTGAGTTGTGACTGGAACGTAAACATTGGAGCCAGCGTAAGCTTTTTAGCTCACTGGCTAACTAGCTCGTTGAGCTAGTTAGCTTTTTGGCTAAACAGCTGTAATGTGAAGGGGGGAAGCAGCTTTTCATTAAAGATGGGAGGTGTGCCGTGTCTTATGTGTCTTCTAATTTTTGCGAACTAGAGCCCCAACAAAACCACCAAATAAAATCTTACGGGTCATCTGAAATTTTAACAAACTACACGCTAACTATCAGTTAATGTTAATTAGCTTATGTGTTAATGTTATTTTGATCGCTTTTAAGTGTTGAAAGTAAAAGAATTGATACAAGAACAATGTGCATAATGGAAGCCAATACACAAATTCAGGTTCCCTGGGGAAGTGAAGCACCATATTTAGTAGCTCCTGCTTAAAATAAACAGTCAATAGAAATGTGAATTAAGCCTGTTTTGTCATATATATATATATATATATATATATATATCAACTTTTTTATCCAGTCATTGTCTAAAACTAGTTTTAAAACTTCCTTTTATTAATGGATAAACTGCATGAACTGTACAGGAACATAGTTACACAATATATATTTTTTAAGAATAAAGTCTCGAAGGGTTACAAATACAAAATCAACAGATTTTCTAAAATCAAGTGTGAATTTAAACTTATTTCAGCTTTTAAAAATTTACCCAGGCAAATTGGGTTTCATCTGTTTATTCTTTTGTTTTTGGATGTGGTTTGGCACAGGTTCTGGTTTTAACAGTGTGGTGATTTATTAAAGATAACAATCAGCTGGTGACTGAAATGCACTAATTTTCAGCTTGACCAGATTAAAACCCAGAAAATATAATTAAATCTTTGTTTTTTCAAGTCCATGATAGCAACATGGAACTAATTTACATCATCAACAGCAGGTCAAGAGGGTGGAGGAATTTAGGACGAAATTACTTGTTATATCTGCAAGGCAAGTAAAATTAAAGTCAGGAAGCACACCATTAATTATGAACACAGATTTTCATTTTGTTTAAAGGTAGAGAGGGGGTGAGATTGTTTTCTCCCACTGGTTCTGAGAGAGAAACCAGAATCAGCAGGTTTGAGCCTTTAAGAAATAATACTTGATTTTAAAAAATATATCAGAGCAATGTCTTAAAAAGGTGAAGAGCTGATCTGCTTCCTGTTTTCAGAAAAGGCAAGAAAACTATCAGCAGCAATACCAGCGAGTCAGGCCTTAAATTATCAGAAATCAAAGTCTGATATCTTATGTTTTCAATGAACAATATCTAGATTTGTGTACTGGAGTGCTGCAAATTATTGAATCAATTTTTAATGTTATGGTAAGAAATTAAATATGCTCTGTTTTCTGTGTGGAACAAACCAAAAGTCCCATTAAATGTTATTTAATGTTTATTCAAATGTGACTGTGTCACACAGGAGCAAAGAGTGACGAGGACTTCCTGAAGGGCCTCCTCAGTGACGCGTACTGCCACGTCTGCTCCTCTCAGCTGATGTCTGAATCTCACCGACTGGCTCACTATGAGGTAAGCACCGATTTCCAGGCCTCCAATGTAAAACAGCGAGACACTCATCTTTACAAAACCAAGTGTGAGTCTGCCTAATAACTCCTCACATCTTTTCTCTCTGAAGGGGAAAAAACACGCACAGAAAGTCAAAGTCTTCCTTGAAGCTGCGAGAGCAGAGACCACCACAGGAGCCAAAGTTAGTGTGTGTTTGCTTTTTTTTAAATACAAGAAATGAGCACTTAAATACAGTCGTTGTGTCATTGTAAGAAGCATAAGCTGGATTTTTCCAAAACACGTCATGTGGTCAAAGCTGCATTAGTGGGACATTTATTTACTTGTTGGGTTGAACTGATCGTGTCAAAGAGCGATTCTGCTGTTTTATGACCTGCCAAAATAATGTTTGTCTTTCTGCAGCACACCATGCTCAGTGATAAAAACCGTTTCTGCGAGCTGTGTAACATGGTGTTTAGTTCGAACGTGGTGGCAAAGTCGCACTATGAAGGCAAAGTCCACGCTAAGAATCTCCGTAAACAAAGTCAACCATCAGGCAAGTGTTGCTCGGGTGAAGAAGTCAGGAGCAGAGGTGTCAAGTAAGGGAGTAGCTACAAATGCTTTGTTACTTCAGTAGAAATGTTGTTTCATTATACTTTAGTGGAGTAATTATTTTTTTCAGACCTCGTTTTTCATCTAATCTTTATATTTAGGCAGTTATCTGTACTTTCTACTCCTTACAAACCGTTTCATTTCTATTTCACTTGGGCTTGTTTTCATTCCAGCTTGTCACTGTTCAGGTAAAAAACAAAACAAACTACAGTGGTTTGCAAAAGTATTCATACCCCTTGAACTTTTCCATATTTTGTCACATTACAACCACAAACATAAATATATTTCACTGGAATTTAATGTGAAAGACCAACACAAAGTGGTGTACAATTGTGAAGTGGAAGCAAAATTTTACATGAATCAAAACATTTTTTACAAATAAAAAACTGAAAAGTGCGACGTGCAAAAKTATTCAGCCCCCCTGAGTCAATACTTTGTGGAGCCACCTTTTGCTGCAATTACAGCTGCAAGTCTTTTAGGGTATGTCTCCACCAGCTTTGCACATCTAGTGACTGCAATTCTTGCCCATTCCTCCTTGCAAAACAGCTCAAGCTCAGTCAGATTGGATGGAGAGCGTTTGTGAACAGCAGTTTTGAGATCTTGCCACAAATTCTCAATTGGGTTTAGGTCTGGACTTTGACTGGGCCATTCTAACACATGAATATTCTTTTTTTTAAACCACTCCATTGTAGCTTTGGCTTTATGTTTAGGGTCGTTGTCCTGCTGGAAGGTGAACCTCCGCCCCAGTCTCAAATCTTTTGCTGACTCCAACAGGTTTTCTTCCAAGATTGCCCTGTATTTGGCTCCATCCATCTTCCCATCAACTTTGACCAACTTCCCGGTCCCTGCTGAAGAGAAGCACCCCCAGAGCATGATGCTGCCACCACCATATTTGACAGTGGGGATGGTGTTTTCAGAGTGATGTGCAGTGTTCTTTCTCCGCCACACATAGCGTTTTGCATTGTGGCCAAAAAGTTCAATTTTGGTCTCGTCTGACCAAAGCACCTTCTTCCACATGTTTGCTGTGTCCTCAACATGGCTTCTGGCAAACTGCAAACGGGACTTCTTATGGTTTTCTTTTAACAATGGCTTTCTCCTTGCCACTCTTCCATAAAGACCACATTTGTGTAGTGCACGACTAATTGTTGTCCTGTGGACAGKTTCCCCCACCTGAGCTGTGGCTCTCTGCATTTCATCCAGAGTCACCATGGGCCTCTTGGCTGCCTCTCTGATCAGTGATCTCCTTGTTCGGCCTGTAAGTTTAGGTGGACGGCCTTGTCTTGGCAGGTTTACTGTGGTGCCATACTCTTTCCATTTCCGGATGATGGATTGAACAGTGCTCCGTGAGATGTTCAAAGCTTGGGAAATCTTTTTATAACCTAAGCCTGCTTTAAACTTCTCCAAAACCATATTCCTAACCTGTCTGGTGTGTTCTTTGGACTTCATGATGCTGTTTGCTCCCCAATATTCTCTTAACCAACATCTGAGGCCGTCACGGAGCAGCTGTATTTGTACTGAGATTAGATTACACACAGGTGGACCCTTTTGAGTCATTAGCAGTCATCAGGCAACTTCTGAATGCAATTGGTTGCACTCAGGGAAAAGAGGGCTGAATACTTTTGCACGTCGCACTTTTCAGTTTTTTATTTGTAAAAAATGTTTTGATTCATGTAAAATTTTGCTTCCACTTCACAATTGTATACCACTTTGTGTTGGTCTTTCACATTAAATTCCAGTGAAATATATTTATGTTTGTGGTTGTAATGTGACAAAATATGGAAAAGTTCAAGGGGTATGAATACTTTTGCAAACCACTGTATATAAATAAATTGTGCCTCCTGGATAGAGTTCATTGTAGTTGGATAAGAAGTATAAATATATACCATTCTGACACGTTGGTTTGTACGATCGATCACACCGGTATGAATCAAATCATGTCACACTCCAGCAGCACATGTCAGACACATGTATTTTATTTTGAAGATGACTGTGACAGAGATGTATATAATGTGGCTGAAACAGGTAGACTAGTGCATCACAGATTTTTAAACATTGACTTTTTATTATATTTTATAGTTAACATTGCCTTTAGAAAAATGTATTTTTGGGAGGCGGGGATGTACACTGTTAGTCCCTGTGGTGTATCCTAAGCTTTTGTGCTTAATGGCTCTTAAGGTCCTATCACACTAGACAACTTATGCCAACTTATAAAACATTTTTTTATGTCTAAATTGCTAATAAAAGTTTTATGTTTGAACAGTTTGTTAAAAATACATTATGTACACGCTGAAAAGAAGCTTCCTTTGATTTTTTTTCAGTTCCATCTTAAACGTAGACGTCTTTAAAATGTTCGTAAGTTGGCAAAAGTTGTGTGACAGGGCCTTTACATTACTTTGAGTTTTATATTTTAATTAGTTTTGAAATCAGTACTTTTACATCTTCACTTAAGTAAAAAGCTTTAGATGATACTTCTACTTAAAAAAGGTATTTTAAACCCTACTTGTACTTAAGTAATGAATATGAATACATTTGACACCTCTGGTCAGGAGATCTGGATTTTTATATTTACAGTAAACATAATTCACACCATGCTAATTCAGCCTGTTTAGTTCAGTTTAATGAAAGACATACAACCTAACCAGGATTCCATCATTTCCTGATGACTTTACAGACAAGAACTCACAAGTTCAGGATCACAGAAACACGGTACAGAAACCGGTCCAAGAGGAAAACAAGGAGCTTCAGCTGGATCCAGCACCCGCCCCAGCTTCCTGTGACACCGAGGTGGACCTGAAAGATCCCAACAAGTACTGTCCGTTGTGTGCTGCCTCCTTCAACAATTCACAGATGGCTCTGCAGCACTACAACGGACGCAAACACCACAGGAACCAGTCCAGACAGGCGCTGCTCAAACAACTGGGAGACGATGTTCAACAAGGTGAACAACTTCTAGTCAAGAACCTGACAGCCACTAGATGGAGCCAAGAAAACATTAAATCACAATAAAAAGATGATTTAACTTACATTTATTTAGCCTGCTTAGATTTAGGGTTTGATTCCATTTTAAATAAGAATACATAAAACTAGCAAGTGTGTGTTGATTGACTGCTATGACATATTTGTTTTGTTTAGATAAACAACTGTTTCAGTGTCATTTTGTTAAATTTTGCCTCCAGCCACCTCCTTTATGTGTCACATTTGTGGTGTGAAATTAGGCTCTGTGGAGATTTACCAGGCTCACCTGCAGGGAAACAAACATCAGACCAGGTAAGATTAAAAGACACTGTTTACTGAAGTTACTGCACTGATTTTATTGCAGTTTCAGTTTAAGCATTTATTTTCAATCTCTCTTTGCGCCTTGATGTTGGGTTTTGAGTCAGACAGGACCAGATGCAAATTGCATAAGCAGAAAGTAGTTTCAAAGCTGCTGCAGACAGGATTGGACAGTTTAAAGAAATTAGATAAACCATCTGGTCCTGCTTTGGTATGGAGGGGGTATTATGTAAGAGTTTTATATCATGTTATGATGTCATTCCCTCATCAAAAACAAAGTGTTGCTTTGACTCATTCATGCATGTTTGAGAAATCCTTGAATCTCATGCAGCCACGTGGAGCTGCCTAAACTCTTGCCGCATATTAGCACAAAGCGCCCCCCACAAATATGTTATAATTTTGAGTTATTTTAGTTAGGTGAGGTTTGTTTCAGACACCCAGAAGTTCCTTTGACTTTACTTTTATGCTTCATTACCATTTGTTTGACTGAAATACGATCTAGTAGTGTTTTTGTTGTTGTTCATGTCCAGGAAGAAGAAGATCAGCGATCTTTGCAAATCCCAACCTAAAGTCTACAGCACATTTGCTGATGAGCTGGCAGATTACATTGAAGTGCAGAAGGCACGGGGGGTCACCCCCAGGACCAATCTAATTCTTCCTCAAGAAGGCAAACAAAAGGACAACGAAGAAGACCGAGAGGTAGAACAAGAGGAATTAATAAAGAGGAACTGGCAAGAAAGTTCTCAATATACACTTAACCCCGTAAACCACCACCACTCTCATCATCATCCTGGGTTTGGAACAGAACATCCTTTATATCTGGGTCCAGTGGGGCACTCCCAGAGCTCCAACTACACCTGCCCTCTATTTTCCAGTTTCCCACAGTTCTCCAGTCATCCCCCAACCAGGGAGCAACACAGGAGACTCTCAGTGTCCCCCCCTTACAGCACTTCATCATATTCCTCTTACAGCTCCCACACGAGTGAAAGTGATGAAGAGAAACACAGACCCAGAGGAAAGAGGAGAATTAAAAGACTAAAGAGAGATGGAGGTGGAGACGAGGAGACAGAGACGAAGGGGAGGAGGAGGAAACGCCGGAGGAGAGAGAGAGACTCTGAGGAGAAGGAAAGAGAACCGTCTTTAGAGTCGGAGGAGGAAGAGCAGAAGAAGACACTGAAAAGTCACAGATGTAAAGAAAACGAAAGTCAGACGGGCAAAGAAAAGACAGAGAGAGAGACATTAGAACCAGAGCACATGATGGGAAATAGAGAAGAAACTCGGCTAAATACACAGACTGACATGAACACTGACCAGAGCGGGAATGATAAGCCGGTTAAATCTAAACCAAAGAAGGAGAAAAAGAGAAGCAAAGAGAAAGCAGACACAAGGACAGAGGAGGAGAAGCTGTGGGACGACTCTATTCTGGGCTGGTGATCTCACATAAACTAAACCAGGACCACTCACTTTATTTATGTAGCCTTGTAGCTATTAAAGGGGACATATCATGCAAAATTCACTTTTATAGCCGGTAAATACATTTTCTTGTCTACTCTTAGTCTCTCTCGGTGTTGTGTAGATATCTTTATATTCTGTTCACATTCCTTAATTTTCCATGACGTTTTCTAACTGTTGTGTCAAATTATTTGCGATGGAACTTCTAAATGAGGTCTGGACTTACCAACTACAATTTCATCTTCATTCTCCTCTGGCTCTGGGTCAGACTCTGGTTCCAACATATGAGGCTGGATGGACAAGTCTTCTGTTGTTGGCATCTTTTAATTAGTTTGGAAATAAAACGTCTCTGTGCTGCTATACAGTCGTAAACCCTCAAAGTAAAATGGACCGCTCTGGAAGCTGGAGGGGGGTGGGATGTGAAGTGCCTCGTTTTAATATAAAGAGACAGCCTCAAAATGAGTTGTTCTCAGGAAAGAGGTGAAAGAGGGGCTTGTGGAGTTACAATAAGGAGGAAATCAGACCGAAGCATTGCAGTTGCACTTTATATAGACCATGATTTAAATGTGAAGAAGAAGGATTTGAAATCATGATATGTCTCCTTTAAGCTTTCATTTTACTTCCTCTTGTAGCCCAGAGGTGGTGCTCTAACATGCTAGCTGGCTAGCCCTGTTCGAGTCGCTTATGAGTTCAGGATTTTTTCATTTAAATTTTCAATGTGTTTCAGGAGGTGTTGGTTCGTTTTTACTTTAACATCTGTTAATAATTGTTATTCACAGCTCAACGTTGGCTGCAGTGTTTATATTACTCCGGTTTTTGCTTTTCATCTTAAAGTATCCTTCAGTTTTTTAAAAGATGGATTGTTTAAAGTGTGATGTTTCTGTCAGGAACAGACTGTAAGCCCTGCAGCAGCCTGTGGTTGGCGATGTTGAGCTGCAYGCAGTAAAGGAAATTAAAGCCCAAAGGCCATGAAAGCCAATCATTTCTTTCCTCTCGAGTTTCTTGGTGTTTTCACTCACAGGTGCAGAGGCTGGAGGAAAGCAGTTACACGTGTAAAGAGTTGTAGTTTTTTTTTAAATTTGATGCTCAATAAATAAGAAATTGTTGCACGCACTGCACCAGATAAGACACATATAAAACAACAAAAAAAGGGGCATTTCCTCAATCTACAATATGTGCACGTTCATGTGTGTATGTTTGCACATAAAGTGTTTGGGGTCACGCAGGTGCAAGAGTTCAAATGAGTACAGCTCTTTACAAATTTCATGTTTAGAAACAAGATGAGGTGGATTCTGAAAAAAAAAAGGGAGTTCTTATCATCCTGACTCCCCAAGATTCACTCTGCGTTGTTTTAAACAAGTCAAATGTATCGCTTCATCGAATCGTCTGAAGTTTTGGGGGAAGTGAGGCCTCTCTGACTGCCAATTCTAAAACTGGACAAAGCAGGCACAGCATGTCAAAACCGCTCCTTTTTAACATGAACAAACTCACATCTGAAGCCAGGTCTGATCCTGGAGTTAGCTTTAAACTGGATGGGAACCAAATAAAACAGTGTGTGAAGATTCAGCCGTGAATATGAATAAAGTGCTGATACTCAGCGACATTATGACATGTTGAGAGAAAAGTGACTTGAAAGAGTGGAGATGAAGCAGCTCAGCTCTAGGTTGAAGGCGGAGAGGCAGAGACCAACAAAGGCTTCGCAGCTCCTCGACGTGCCGAGCGCGTCTCTGAAGCCCCCCTGAGATCTCCTGTTTTCAAAGAATCCTGTGGTCTCGTTCCTCATCTCGCTTAAGTGTTCGACCCCCTCGCAGAGCTGTAGGCTGCCCACATCCTCTCGCTTTAAGACCCCCCACTAGACCATTCTGTACCCCTGAGGAACCCAGACATTTAGGTGGTTCAGTTTTCGCTGCAGAGAAAACAGTAAAATAAATTGAACTCGGTGCTGATGTTGCACCTGACTGAAATGTGCCGTCACAAACTTACAGATGTAAAAGTATCACTTAGAATTTACAGCATCTCCCTGAGCTTTTGGAACGTTACACACAGAAACATTGTGCATTAAAATCACAATTTGACTTCACTGCTGATTGATTCCAATAATTTATTTAAATTATTAATAACATTACCAAGTTACAACTCCAAAATCAACACCGCTGTCCGTTTGTGGTTGTGGTTTCGGTCAAAAACTGCGTCACTTCTCTGGTCAAAACTATAAAAAAAAAACTCAACCTTCATCTTCATTTGCTCCGTTTTAAACTTCTAATTATTCTGCGTTCATTTCACATCTCATTGGAAGGCCCAACATTTTAACTCTTTGCTTTGACTCCACGTTTTCAACCGTATTTGTTGACTCAACCTAACGTCTGAGAGAAACTAGAAATATGTCCAGTGCGTTATATCCAAATTAAAGAAGTGAAGTTATTTTATTGAGCTGAAAGATGGAAATCACTGATTAGTGTCATTGAATGATTTAATAATGTAACATTAACCACTCTTAATATTTTCTATAATCTTAAATAAAACACGAATTGTAAATCGAGTCAGAACCAGAAAGATGACTTTTTGTTTCGTGTCTTTGAGGATGTTTTGTTTTCTTATTGCAAGCTGAACTCATGGAGAAAGTCCAACATTTGCTGAGCTGGTGTTTTCTGCACACAGATGTGTTGGTTTAACAACAATTGAGTTTTTTTTTATCAAAAGAGAGAGAGAGCTCATCACCATCAATGGCCAAACTGCACAAAACAAAGGAAATGTGTTCAAGAACAAATCTCTAATTTTACTTGACACCTTGTTGAAGCTGCACTTCAGTAATTAAACACATCTGTATATGTTCGATCATTTAGATCAGAGCTTCTCAAACTGGGGTCCCAGCCCCACCAGGGGTCGGGGAGCAAAATAAATGACAATAAATTATTAATTGTGTCATACCATTTTCTAAAAGTACATATACACATGGGGACCAATATGCCAGCAAAATTAACATTTTTAACCTAAGAAAAAATTATTTATATATAAATAATTTTTGATCAGCGTGAGGTATTTGAAACAGTCTTTGAAAATGTTTTTCTCTGTAAGCGGTCCCCAGACCCAAAACATTTGAGTAGATCTGGTTTAGATTAGGGCTGCCACAAACGATTATTTTTATAGTCGATTAATCACCGATTATTTTTTCGATTAGTCGACTAATTGGATCATATGTTAATTGAATATAAAACTTACAGTTTATTGCGCCAGAATGCAGCTGCTATTATATAACCATGGTTAGATTTTAGCTATATGCTAACTAAAAATAATTGCCGTGGAAGGCAAGTTCTGCTCTGCAGATATTACACAGGTTTCTCTTTCATTTTCTTAAAATGATCCCACACTTTTCAGCTCCATTGTCAGGTAGCCATGATTCCAGAGCCTGTCTGTATAATGTCTTGTGACGTCCACAGCCTACCCCAGTTACCACTACTGTGCATGTGTGTCAAGGACAGAAAGGCCGATGTGGCAGTGGAAGGTGTCAAAGCAGTTTGGAGAGAAAAACAAAGTAAAGAACAAACAAAAAAATGATTAATCGATTATTAAACTAGTCATCGACTATTTTAGGAATCGATTAGTCGTCGACTAAACGACTAATCGTGGCAGGCCTAGTTTAGATGACCCAAATGATGATGTTAAAAATAGAAAGAGGACAGTTTTGGATCTTATCAGCCTTTAGAAGAAACAACGGATAGATTTTCGTGTCTGAATCTGTTTCCTCTTCGTCTTCACATCAGTTTGACTTTTACTGGGTCTCCATAAAACTCAAAGACCTGGCCTTGAGACCAATCCTTCTCAAATTAAACATTTCATTAAAGAAGAACCCGTCCAGAGGACCTACTTAATTTTTCTTTTTGACTCAAATTAAACAGTCAAGAAAATGTTTTAAAAACACTCACTGGGATAAAATATACATAAATATATTGGTTTATCAAAAAATACATATTCACTTGAATGAAAGATTTTGCATTGAATAATATAAAGACGTAGTTTTACAGAATCCCACAGACAAGCAGAAAGTTTACAGTGTAGCTTCCAGCTGCTTGTGTCGCTAACTAACCTTCATTGATTAAAACTGAATGTAAACTCAGTTCATCAGTGTTTCCTTTCAGCGCTCTGCACATAAAACTGCATCAGGTTCAGTTTTGCTGAACTCTAGGTCACACACCTGTTGAGACCACAGAGCTGCAAACTGCTGCTTTAGGATTTTACTTTTTTATTGTTTGATACGAAGACATCATGTCAGCTGTCATGAAACATTTTCCTGATCCGTGTGTTAGAAAACTCAACTGAAGCAGCCCGCCGCTTGTTTTATCCACGACAAGAGCGTTAATGATGAGCATCACACTGTGTCTGACATGTTTTCTGCCTTCTGCATGTTTTAATTCATTTAGTTTATGTCAGCTRAAAGGCCGTAATGTTGATATGTGATTTTTATGCCACAGAGATGATTTCTTCAACGACGTTTCGAGGCTTCACCTCAGCTCTCTGAACAACAGAAAACACAAATGAAAACCTTCTTTTTGCTCACCAGCTCCAGGTATAACTCTGTGTAGTTGTAAATTCAGAGTATACAGTAAATGTCCATGCTGGGGGCCCCCAGCGCTGTGGGCCAATCTGATCCTGTGTGGGGTGTTACCTTGAAGCCCGAGGGCCTCGTCAGCACAGTTTCCTCATCCTCTCTGACAGACCGACTGCAGGAACAGAAAGTATCAGCACCTTCCTCCAGCTACACACACCTAAACACACCAGCGAGTCGACACAATGATCTCCCTGCGACTGGCGTGGACTTTACTGATGCTGCCGGCGTGGACCTCTGGTGAGACGCTTTATTTTCTCTGTTGTTGTTGATTTGTTTTGTCGTAGGCCTTCACTGTTTGTCATCATCAGCGCTCCATAAGAGAGAAGAGTGTGAGGCGCCGTCATCGGCTCAGACTGATGCTGGAATTGTTTAAATGTTTAAATTTGTGTTTGTCACAGTTAGTCTTTATTTATGCCAGACAGAATGATGAGTTTTTGAGTTTAGCTAAATGGCAACTTTTGGTGTGATACTTAAAACATTTTTATCTACATTTTAGAGATTTACAGTCGTAGGCCTTCTAGTGCACATAATATACATACATATATATACACATAATATA